TTGGGTTTTCAGTTATTTTTTTTTTTCGAAAATTCATTTTCGAAAACAAGAAAGAGAACGCGTTTTTACTGTTTTGAAAAACTGAAAATAGAAAACGATCCAAAAACAACAAAGAGAACGGGGTCTAAGTTTCTAGAATTTTCCTTTTCATTTCATTGGGTATAAGAATAATATTTTGGAATTGGGGCGAATGTGAAGATTTAGACAAGCACATTTTTCAAAATACAATTCTTATTCAAATACTTAATTTGTATACTTTCCATTTCCCAACTCCCCCTTTTCCTTTTTGATTAAGATAAGATTAGTATTCTGGCATATTATGTCACTATCACCAATGGTCAGAATTGTTATATTTTATGTTACTTAAGTGACATTAGTCGTAGATAAAACATGACAATGAACAAAATTTTACATTTACTCTTTCGTGATGTTGGTATTTACCACGTTTCGTCAGGGCTGGTGAAGCTTATGATTATGATCCACTAAGCCTAACACAAAGCTACTAAGTAATCAGATCATAAGGTTGTATCCCTGTATGAAATCATCTATAGCATAAAGCTAGATGTGAACTGATTTCTCTATTGAGTTCTTGTTTCGGCAGTTGATTCAATCTGCCCCCAATACATCCTCAACCTATGACTGCTGTAACATTATCGTCCCCAATCAAAATCTAAAGCAAAGCCCAGGCTGAAAGTAGGCCGTGCACAAGAATCCAAACCATGCAATATGCTGATAGCACTTGCATTCAAGGTTAGGGAATAAAGCAGTTCAACTCGGAGTTGTTTGTGACTGAAAATCCAAGCTAAAGCCACTTTTCATCTACCCCGATACATACCATAAGGTCAATCTAAAAGCAATCTGACTTGAGCATCGGAATGGAATAGGCCATCCCGTCAAGAAATTTATTCCCGTCAAGAAATTAGCACACTCAACAGACATTCATTTCTTTTTATCTCGTTGGTCATAAAAAGAATACAACTTTCAAAGACTTGGAATGATTTAGCTGACTATATCTACAAGACAAATACGATGGTGCAATACATAGAAAAAAATCAAACCAAAAATGCTTTTAAGCAACAAACCCCTGCTGTCAGTTTAACCAATTAATCTTGTGATGGTGGAAAAAAATAAAAAGATTGTCTGGTCAACTTTTTCTTCTGTTGAACATTACAGAAAATAGCTAAGTTTTTCTCCCCAGAAGGATGTGGGGAAACATATCATAGGTGCTTTTAATTATCTCGACAACTTTCGTTTCCAGCTCCAACCAAGCCAGTTAGTATCCCAATTTTCAAGACTATTCATCATCTGATGACGAACCAGAGTCTGCTGGCCTCCTAAAGTCATCTCCTGCAGTTGTGTCCTAAAAGTAGAGGAAGAGCATTCATACAAGGAAAACAAAATTATTTACTAGTAAGTGAAATTTTTAACCTTAGCCAAACATGCACTAAATACTACAGGAAACAGAAAGGGTGCATCATGCTTTAACAAAACCGAAAATGGCTGAGATATTGGTAGGAAAACCTACCTGCATTTTATCCCAATCTTTCAACTTCGAATTTGTTAACATGTAATTATCACACAAAGGGGCCCATGCAGGTCCTTCGCCATCCACTGCGCTACTAGATGCACCGACCTGTATGTGACGAACCATAGAAATTTTGAAAGTGAAAATCGACTCCCCGAATGGTAGTATAAGAATTGATATTGAACATCCCTCCTATATCTGTACAGGCTCCCATAGCAATAACATATTTTGGTTCGTGCATTTGCTCACATAATCTCACTAAAGAGCGGTTTTTTCATTGTTGATGTTTCGGCTGTTAAATTTAAATACACTTTTGTAGGGCTCGGTACTATTCCATGATGATCAAAGTCAAATTGTAATTCCTTTAGTAAAGCAAAATCAACTTCAAAAGTTCCATGGTTCCTACCAATAGAATGGCAAATTGAGTAATGCGAGACAGAGACGAGAGATAACCTTAGCAACAGTCCCAATAGATTGGGAAGCTGCCTTGCCTAACTCTGAAAAGAAGGCTTCTTTCCTCCGCTTCTTTATAACTGGCATTATTTCAAGGACATTGATAAGGATCAAACTATGCAATTAGACATGATCATATTCATAAATCAGTAAGGATATGAAATGATAGTATATACAAGTTGAAGCAAACATCAATATATAATTTCATTTCAGAAACATACAGAGGTAACTCAAACCCCTACAATGGTAGATGATTAATATGATATGCTGATATAGTCTCCATAAAAATAGAAAAAACTAGGATTTTTAAAGCTTTCTTGGCCGTGAAAATCTTCTAGCTTTTTGGGTCCAAGATGAACGGGCAACTCCTCTAGAAGAAATAAACAGGCTAGATGTACTGAGAGAGACCCTGTATAGGAACCATGTCTCAGCTCCTTAATGATTCTGTAATCTTACGAATGTTGATATTGTAAAACTTCCATACACGTACAAACAAAATGCTATTTCAGAGAGAACATTTGAAATGGCATTGTGTATCATGTTACATGAACATAGAAATGGGGTGTGGTGGAGCGCGTTAGCGCCCCTTGAAGCTTCTGTCACAAAGTAAAGAAGGATTTAACTTTATTGAGAAGATATTAATGTGCTCAAGCTTACCGCGCAAACGTAACCTTGGGGTCGAAAGCACAAAGCAATGCACTGAGCAGTCTGATGATGACCTGTGAAAAGATTATAGCTCAGCTGATCTACACCCGT